TCAAGGAGTGCACAAGGAGAGGACTGGAGCAAGCAATTGAGAAGTTTTCTTACTCTTTTTCTTACTTTTGTAGCAACTCATTGAATTCGTAGTTTTAATTTTCAAATTATGTTGAACTAAATTTATTTCTAGAGTTAGGGTTTTTATAAAGGAATTTGATTAATTTTTCTAGTTTAATTTCTTGTCTTTTGCTATGATTTATCTATCTTGATTTTAGTTACGTGTTTATGTCTAATTACGATAGCATGATCTTTGGATTTGTATCAAACTGATAAGCAAGATACAGCTATGCACTAGATAGATAAACATAGTTAACCTAATTACGAGAGTAGGTTAGTGTTTGTATGACGCACTTATATCACCAAAGTTCTTAAAAAGTTTAATTAAATACTTGCGATCTCGAGAGAGATGTAGAATTTAATTAAACACATTTTAGATGTATCGAGAGAAAATCTAAAATATAATTATGTGATACGTTCATGGTTTGTTAAGAAATTAACTAAATAGCTAACTCAAATTCTAGGTAAAACCTAGAACCGTAGACTTGCATTTATTGTTTTCTCACAATTACTTTATTTGATTTGATTATTATTTTACTGCTTAGTTAGAAATTACAACTCCTTCGAATTTAATTTTGTTATTTTTGTTAGGATAATAAAAGTAGAAAATTAACTCGTCCCTGTAGGTTTAACTCCTAGAATACTCCTAGTGAATTATTACTATGGTCGACCCTGTATAGTTGCAAGAATTCGTTAATCGAGTTTTTGACACCGTTGCCAGGGACGATGCTTAATTTTTCTACTTTAGTTACTTTTGTTTTATTTTATATCTTATTTTACTTTTAGTTCTTCACTTTTAGTATTGATTTTTTTTTTTTGCTTAAGTGCTTGGTGTATCACTCAATCTCAAAAAGGTGACTTGGAATTTGACTTGGAAGTTGAGAGAATAGCAAATTATTTGAGGAAGCAAATTTGTCTACAAAAACAGACTTTGAAACCATCGTCACTAGATTTCATATTGCCTTAGAGATAGCTGAGTTTGGTAGTTTAGATGAATCCGAGATGACAGAAGAAATAGAAGTAATAGCAATAATCAACGGGAGGTATCACCATAGGCTCCACCTATAGGACTTCATCTTCGAGACATTCAACGTCCTGCTATTGTAGCGTCCCTGCACTATATCAAGCTAAGTGAAGAAGTAAGAAATTATGGGCTTAAAATAGTACATTTTAGTGTGCTGCCTATTTTCCATGGCTTAGCTAATGAAACTCACTCTCTTTTGTATGGAAATTTTATTCAATGGTGCAAACATTTCCATTGAATTGTGTGTTAGAATTCAATCGAAGAATGAGGTGCTTCTCTTATTGTCTCAAGGATCATGCAAAGTCTTAGCTATTTCATCTACCTGAAGGATCTTTGAGGACATGGAAAGATGTTTATAACATCTTTATGACCAAATACTACTCATCTTAGAAGATCATTGACTTAACAAACAAGATTGCACATTTTCATAGATGGAAGGTGAACCAATTCATGAAGCATGGGAGTACTTTAAGCTACTTCTCTCTTAATGTCCTCACCATCAATATTCTCTGGCACCGCAAGCTCAATTTTTTATGATAGGTTGACCTTAACAACCCAGAATATGATAGATATTGTAGCTTGAGGATACATTAGGGATAAGATTCTAAAGGAATTGGTTGGAGTTTATGAGCTACTCTCTAGTAACTCTCAGCGAAAGGCAATCCAGGGTAAAAGAGTAGGAGTACATGAAATGAATATGCCACGGGATTTGGATTCACGGGTTGCTGAGATGAGTCATCAAATACAATTGCTATTACATTGGGTAACTCAATCTCCAGAACCATGTGCTTATTGTCCTATGTATGGGCATTCTACTGTTGATTACTATAATAGAGAGCCTCTTAACTTGATTGAAGATGTCAATTTCATTGGAGCATGTGGTGGACAGAAATTTAGCCAAAGAATAATCCTTTTTCCAATACATATAGTGAAAGATGGAGAAGCCATCCTAATCTTTCTTGGAAGAATCAAGGGGTCAATTCTTTGGAACCAACTAGATTCCAACATCAACAGCCGACCTCTCAATATCCTCTCCAACCTACTCAAGAAAAGAAGCCCAACCCTAAAGAGTTGATGTAGCAATATATGCAAAAGGTGGACCAAAAGATGGATCAAACTAATCATCTTGTACAATCTCAACAAACATCAATTCAAAATCTTAAGAGGCAAGTTGATCAGCTAGCAAAGGCAGTAGCTGAGAAGGAAGCAAGTAAATTGCCCAGCAATACTGAACTGAACCTTAAGGAAACTACTATGGTTGTGACTCTTTGTTCTGGCAAAGTATTGGATGATCCCATCATTAAGTCTAAGGCTAAACCAAATGAAAAGCAAGATGAGAGTGGAATTGCTAATGAAAGTGAAAGAGCTAGAGATGCGGGAAATGGTTCTAGTAGAAGGAGTTTAGAAGATAATCAACATATGAAGGTGCCTAAAGTGAAACCTTATGTGCCGCCCATCTCCTTCCCTCAAAGGCTACAAAAAAAGGCAATTAACGAGCAATATCAAAATTTGGTGGAAATGCTCTACAAATTTCAAGTGATTTTCTAAAGTTCTTGCTAATATACCTGTGTATGCAAAGTTCTTGAACAGAGTGGTGTCTACTAAGAAGTTGGAGGACTTTGCAATGATGTCATTCACTGAAGAGTGTAGTACGGTGGTTCAAAATCATCTTCCTGTTAAGATAACGCATCCAGGGAGTTTTATTGTGTCTTGTCAATTTGAAAATATATTTGTTGATAAATGCTTATGTAATCTTGGGTCAGTGTTAATCTAACACCTATACCCTTATTTAGGAAATTAAAGTTTGCCAACCTTATGCCTACACATGTGATTCTACAACTGGTTTATCATTCAGTGTCTCATCCTGTTGGCATTGTAGATGATCTGTTGGTTAAAGCCGATAAATTTTATTTTCCTTTAGATTTTCTTATTTTTGAAATGGAAGAAGATATTTCTATGTCTATTATTCTTGTTAGAGGATTTTTATCCATGGAAGGGGCTAATATAAACTTATTAGAAGGAATATTGACTCTAAGGGTCGGTAAGAAAAGGAATAATTTAATATTTTTGAACTTCTAAATTACCCTTCTTATGAATCTTATTCGTATCTTGATGCTATTGACAATTTAACTGGTGAAAAGTATGTTACAAAGATAGACTTGGAGTTGATGCCCGGGCCAAATATTCCTCTTCAGCGGTTCGAAAACGATCTTTTAAGGATCAATGGTATCAAAAATCCCATGTGCATGCGCTAAATGGAATGAAATTATTTTAGCCACTTCATCCATCATAATTGCATTTGGCCCATCTAGCCGAAAACGTTAAACTTAGCACTTCTCGGGAGGCAACCCGACTTTTTTTTTAAAAATTTTATTTAATATTTTCTTTATTTTTGGGGATTAGTGGTGGTGTTTGTTTCATTAGAATTTTATTCCTTTCTAGTTTGGCCTATTTGGTGGTGTGTTTAACTCCTATTTATAGTGTTTATTCTTTTATTTTGGCAAGATGTCACTACGGGTTTAGCTATTTGATGGTAACTGGCAATTTCCCTCTTACTCTACTTCATCTTTGGTACTTCATGTTATCAGGGAAGTTTTACTTTCATCTCTCTTTATGCTTATAGTTTTTTTTTTTTTTTCTTCTCCAATATTGAGGACAATGTTGTTTTAAATGTGGGGGAGTTAGTTAGGGGTAAATAGATGAAGTGAAACTTTTGAATTTTTGGTTAAAATTTTTCAAATTTTTGTTGATTCTCCGATAGGCAATGGCTTATATTTCGAGTATTATTATTGTTAAAGCATTATATTTATGAATATGTTTAAGTCAAATAGTATCGTCTCAAAAAAAATTTTGGTGAATATTTGGTATTTTGAAACTTTTTCAATTTTTGGATAACTTTTTTAGGTGTTGTAAATGTTTTTCTAGCAATTTTCTTGTGGATTGGGACTAATTATTAATCTTAATTCTCTATATTATTGAGATATGAAATAGGATTTTGTATTCTAAATTATTTGTGCTTATATGCTTATTTTGTTGAGTTGAGCTATACTCCCCTGGTTGTCATTGCCGAATAACAAGGGGTCTTTATTTAGTAAATTTCAATTTTCGCATCACAAGGTGGTGATAGTGATGATTATGTGATTTTTAAATAGTGAAAAATTGAGTAATCGAGCCCCTTCATTTAGGAGATGTTAGGAGCAGAGAAACTCCGGTGTGAAGACCAAATGCGTAGAAATATTGTTTTTCAACTCCAATAAACCTAATCCAACCTCGTTTGAGATACTACTTTAAGAAACTATAAATAAGGGTGTTCTAGATCATTTTTAAGGAGCAGAAAAATATTAGCCTAACTTAGTTCTAACATCTTTTGATAGTTTATTTTTGAGAAATCAAAATCAAACATGGAGAATTAAGGAGTGCACAAGGAGAGGACTGGAATGAGCAATTAAGAGGTTTCTTACTCTTTTTTTTTCTAATCTTTGTAGCAACTCTTGAATTCATGGTTTTAATTTTTGAATTATGTTGAACTAAATATATTTCTAAGATTAACATTTTTATGAAGGAATTTTGATTAGTTTTTTGAGTTTAATTTCTTGTCTTTTGTTATGATTTAGATATTTTGATTTAGTTACGTGTTTGTGTTTGATCACCATATACATGATCTTTGGATTTGTATCAAATTGAGAAGCGTGCATTTGATAAATAAACATATTTAGCCTAATCGAGAAAATATGTTAAGAGTTTATATTATGCACTTATATTGGTAAAGTTCTTAAAGAGTTTAATTGAATACTTGCGATTTTGAGAGATGTGACGACCCCACCTCTCCCCTAGGGCGTACCCTAATGTTTGGCAAACCATCCACCAACTCTCGCTAGGTCTCACGTACAAGTCCCAATACAATACAAGAATCTCGATAATAAAAGCAATAGCAAATTCGAAATTTAGATATATACATTCATGGTCATCAAATTCCCATACAGACCCATAATATAATAAGAGATTCAAGTTCAAGTCAAACCGCTAAAACTAGAAGAGAACACTAGAACAAAAGACGAGGGACCTAGACCAAAGCGCCAACCTTCTCCAACTCACACGCCCATGTTCTTGCCCCCTATAAAGAAAACAAACTCATGGGGTGAGTTATCACCAAGCAAGATATCAAGACAACATGGAAATGAAATAGCAAGTTGGCAGTTACATATATCACAATCTTAAAGCGAAGAAAGTAAACATTCACAAGATAAGTCATTAATATTTCAAATAAACAATTCAGATAAACAATTAACACTTTCACGCATAAGGATACAGTTTGCTCTTGCGAACTAGATCGACAGTAGTTTGAACAGAATCTGTTGACACTCCGTCAACCATGGGAATATAGTAACAAATCTAGTAGAGCACTACTTATCTCCCATCTCCATCCACTGATCAATCCCCTCCTGGGCTCGAACTCCAAAAATAATAGTAGAAGTAACACTCGAGTATACCGAGTCCAATGGATCGAATTCAGTGAAATAAACAACAAACAGTATCCATGGTTCGTCAATCTCCTCAACCAAGTTCTTACTGGTTCGATTCAACTAACTAACCTAGGGATTTGGGATCCCAGGCAGTTACTTTCAAGTTATGCACATGAACATCAATTCATTTGCAAATAGTGCACAGCAATTTAGTCCAGTTAGGGCAAGTGCGATAAGTACACACTTGCCTAACCAAAACAAGTTAAAAGCATAGTAATAACATTCACTCAATCACAATTTCATGTCAAGTATTGCTCATTCATATCAAAAGAGCATTTCAAGCAAGTAGCAAGTTTTACCATGCAATTGGTACACTCACCAACTAATTAAGGTCTATCAATGACAAGCTCAGACTCTACTTCCTGGCCACTCTCAAAATCTGTGATTAGATAAAATATAACAAGAAATCAAACTTCCACCATAGCTATTCAAAAATCACACCTTGTACTTGTGAAAATCAATGGAAAAACTACGTAAGTGTAGCTCGCTACCATAGGCACAGCATATATGGAGCAAAAATATATTAAGTGTAGACACAATTTTTTGAAGAAGAGTGATAAAAATCTCGAGTTTAAAACTGGACACTTACAACTATAAACATTTTTAGGGCAAACAACATTTTCTGCCTCTTAAATCGTTTTGCTTTAGCTCGAAACCAACTATATGTGAAAATCAAGGTGTTTGCAAGTAACTCAAGAAAAGTAGGTCAAAACCACCCTTAATTTACACCGCAACTCTCACTCTTTCACTTGACCAACCAAGAAAGAATTTGCAGCAACATAGCCCCAAATTCCTCAAGTTAACCATCAAAGTTTCAACCCTATTTGCATGGCAAAACCACTATCAATCAAGATAACATCTCATTAGGTGTATGAAACATCTTTTTGGCAACCAAATCCATTAATATTTCACATATATAAAGTTCTAAACTAAACTAAATATATCTTGAACCAAAACTAGAAATTTCAATAAAACTTGACAAAAACATGAAATCTTCCATAAACATCCTCCTTTTAGCTTTTATCACTACATATATCGGATAAATTTCAAGATAAAAGAAGAAAGATATGGTTCCTAGCACTTTTACCTCAAACCCCAAGATGGAAAGCAAATCAAGAGCTTCCTTTCTTCAAAAACTTCACCAAAGGCTTCCTTCCGCACTTGCTTCAAAGATCTATGTAGTAGATTAGGATTTCTCATTGGTGTTCTCACTAATCAAGCAACAATCAAGCTAGAACTTGAGGTGTTTTTTCTCTCCCTTTTCTCTCTCTATTTTCGGCCAACAAGAAGAAAAAAGAAGGGTTTTGGTGCTAAATTGGAAGATAAATACAAGACTTCTCTTGGTCAAATGGTTTATTAGATTGTCAACACTTGGCGAAGCATGGTTTCATGCCTATCTCGGTGTCTCTCTTTTGTCTCTAGTCACTAATATATCTTGTGCTCCTCCAATTAACTATTAACACTTTTTGTCATACAATCCCCTTTGCAAAAAACTCCTTGTCTACCAAATTTATTACACACACTTTACAAGTTGGTCACACTAGCATAATACACTACGAAACTCAATATGCACCAAATTAAATAAGGAAAAAGGATAAATATCATGACTCAACCATTAAAGCAACCAAGAAATTAAGGCAGGCCTCGAAAGATACTGACAAATCCAAGCAAGCTTAATTAGTGGGTGCAAAGTGAGTGGATTTTGAATCACCCATTTAGATCCAATTAAGACAATAAGATCATATGAGAGAGAGAGATTAGTATGCCACTGGATTTTTGGCAATACTCTCTGAAGATCAGGATGTGCAAAAACAGCAATTAAACATTGATTGTGTGGACATCAGATAAAACAGTATTCTGGATAAAAGAAGATATTGATAACGAAACTCCAGGTACCACTGCTAACTATTTGGCATCATAAGAAAGCTAGATTGCATCTCATAAACTTCAAAAGACACCAAAGAACAGATGAGCTTACATGAAGTTGAGTCAGTAATATGTTGACTAGATTTAACTCTTATTTCTCATATGGGATAATATCCTTCAATCATACAATTAATTAGAGTCAAATCTTACAAGATTTCCCAATCTGACTCTAAGACAAGATGCTGAAGTACTAAACACAAAATATAAAATCCTACGGAAAAAGAGCCAACTTACCAAAATGCCTATCAAAAACAAAAAAGGAACAACTGAACGCATGATACCAAAATTCCTGCTAAACATGCTTGGCTGGAGACTCCTAAATAAGATACTATTGTGTTAGTTACCTGGAAACTTCATTCACCCCGGGCAGGACGGGATATGCACCTGACACAGTCAAAAGCTTTTGGGTATGTCAACTGTTGTGATGCGATGTTGATGGCCAAGGAGGAGAGATGGGCAAGAAGTCTCATGAGATGGGAAGAGAATGGAAAAGGAAGAAGGGTGGTTCTGTGGAGGGAGGAGAAAAGAGGGGAAAGCCAAAGCCACTCAAGTTTCCAAAGAAAAATACGCACATCCCGTGGTGTATTTTCACTTCAGACATAAGGGTGGCTTCTTTCGTTGGAGGACGATGTGAAATCGTGGCATCTGAGAGTAAGAGAGGCTATGATAAATTGAAAAGAGGCGCTCTGTTTTGATGTGACGGCAGTACAGAATGACTAAGATAGAGATAGGGTTTGACAACAATATCTACTTTGCCCCACTATTTCAACTTTAATTAATGAATAAGTAACTCAAAGCTTCTGCAATTTTTCCCTTTTCAATAATAATTCATCCCCTCCTACTTAAATATGTTGTTGCTTATGTTTCCTTTCAATTTAATCGCACATCTAATTAATCTTTTTCTTAGCATATACTTTAAACAAGTTTTGGATATTTTAGAATGATTTGTGTTTAAATATCTTATGTAAATGAGTATAAGAGATGCAACCACACACCTGTACCCAAAATTGGGCAAATATCCCTGGATCCTGTAATTTTCAAATACGGAAATCTGACACTTCAACATGCAACCGCACCCAGACACTAGCCAAGTCCATGTAACGTAACTCTAAAATAGTCTTCCTATTTTCCAAAGTGAGCTGATTAAAGCCTGAGAGAAATTCTGGAAATCATTTACTGTTGTTTTGATAGACCACATGACAATTTTATATGGCTAGTCAAGCTAGCAACCTTTTGCAAGACCAAAACATAGATGCACTTGGACCGCATGGCACATTGGGTTTTGTTAATACAGGTAAGATAGCTATTCATATAGTTCCGTCAGTTCCTCACAAATATCCATGCCTGCCCACTGAAGACAACATCTTTTAAACTTCGTAGAAACAACAATGCCACTGGATCCAAAAGTTCATAATTAATTCATCTAAGTATGGCACAAAAACATCATAGGTCATGAAAGCTACTGATTAGCCATGAAGCAAAAAGTAACAAGGCATCAGCACAGGCAAATATCAGAGAACATTAGCAGCACCAACTCCTATTACATTCAAAAAAGAAAGATGACAGATCAAAAAGTTGAGGGGATCAATACCACAATCCAAGAAAGTGAATATGCCATCCAAATACCTTGGTCTGGAGGATTTTTGCTTGCATTGGCAGCATTAGCTTGTAGAGGATTAGCCATGGGATTTTGGGATTTAGTTTCCATTGTCAGCATCTTCAATGATATCTTTCTCAAATAATCTGACTGCAAAAAATAAATCATGTCCAGAAGAAAAAATTAATAACCAAATAACAAGAAACAAGAGTAACTTAATAAAATGGACCAACAGCAAAATTCCATGCAGGATCAATGGAAAAAGGATGCAAGTGATACATTAAGACCATAACATGCCGCAGAATTGCATGGCTACCTGGCTAGTTGCTGCACTATAAATCTTTTCCTCAAACCTCACAGCAATTTTCTTAAGTTCTCGCAGTCCCTCTTCTCCAGCGAATGGCAGATGCCTCTTCAAAATCTCCATTCTGCACATGTGAGCACATCTGAACATTAAACTAAAAGCTGCTTACGACCTTACAGAAGTACGTCAACAACAGGAAACAAAATCATAAACCAGCTCCACAGTTGCATACTACCATGCAAAATCAACTTCGGAAAAAAAGCATCTTAAAGTCAATAAAGGAAAGCCAATAGCATGTAAACCTACAAGAGTTTAGAAACAATATTAAATGCACAGTCTTCTAAATTTCAGTTTTCAACATCATGGCTACCCAAAAAAAAAATTGTGTTAATCAGGAAAGGCATAAAAGTACTGTAGAAGTAGCGTGTGAATTAAAAGAGGAAGTGTAACAAGAAGTGGAAGAAGTGAAGGAGGAAAGGCAGAAGAGAGCTTGGTCTTGAAACACAAAGACATGAGGATTTCATTCTTGAAACTTTTTTCAACTCCATGTATATAACTTGAAACACAAAGACACGAGGATTTCATTCTTCATCATATTAACTCTCTCAAGTCGGTATTTTCTAATCTCACCAAGGAGTCCTTCAACGGAATCCATGCATTTGAAAAATCAGAAGAGGAAAATTCTGGCAAAGATAAGTTCAAAGCTACACATTCTCGGTAAAAGATGTAGTAGTGCAACAAATATAAGAATTCCACACATACAACACATTATCCAAACGACATATTGCAGTAAAATACACTTCCTCTGGAATAAGACAGAGCCCATGAAGCATTGGAAGCTCCAAGAAGCTTCCAATTCTTCCTCAACTCCATTCCCAATAATACCATAAAATCATCCAGAATCTCAAACATATTAGTCTCCCACATCCAATGAAATTAATTATTCATACTGTAAAAAAAAATTATCAACACCAACTAAACAAATAATACATTTTTCTAGTATTACATTAAATAAGAAAAATCACAATTTTAACCCAGGTAAGAGCCTTCAAGAAAGTCCAGAAAAAATTTTTTTTACCAGTTTCCAAACCAGATATCAATCTAAAAAATTTTTAAAAAATTGCATACATATATAATCCAAAGTAAAGAGACAAAGCAAAAAGAAAACGAGGGGTTACATCTTATTAACGATTCTTTGACGATAATCTGCTTGGAGTTGAGTCCTCCAATCGCCGCTGTCAATAGTAGCCGGCGGAGCTGCATTTGGGACAGCCGATACTTCTCCACTGCCGCCTACTTGACCACCTTGATGCGGACCCTGAGCCATCTGTCTTTGAGGCGCCCTCCAACTGTTGCTGTCCATTGCCTGATCAAACACAATTGGCCGACAGAAATAAATCGAAAACCTTGAAACCCAATAAAACAATTCAGAAATTTACCCGTGAGCATTAAATCTAGGGATAATTTTCAGAAACCTCCCTGAGGTTTCTAACAATTTCATTGATCTCCCCTGAGGTTTCCACAATTACTTGACCTCCCTTGAAGTTTAGGATTTTGTAACAAAATCAGTCCATGATATCAAAACTGAACATAAAAAAGTGTTTTTAGGAAAGAGAGGGAAATTTGTTCACATAAATGCCCTGAGGTAAGTGTGCAAGTTATATTAGTGAAATAATGAAAACTAATACAAAAAATAAATTAAAAAAAGTGAGAGGATGTTAGTGAAATAAGGAAAAATAGTCACTGACCATTTACTTGCACAAAGTTATAGTAACGACTACTGCTATCTTTTGCAATGTTGAAGAATTATTATGAACTATCTAAGTTATGCTATCCAATAGGTGTACATGATCCAACAGTGCTAGAGACAAAATGCTAATGAAGTAAACTAAAAAGTTGCTTGTAAAAACGCTCTTCCAAATTGACGGTTAGCCAATGGTCCGTGGCAACCAAGAAGCTGCAAGATTTGAACAAAACCAAGTTAGCACTAGCCTTACAACCAAAAGCCAAGAATACAATCAAAGAATAGCAATACAACCAAAGACAGCTCTAAATCAAACAAAGATAACAGCAACAAACCTTGGCATTAACACCATCTGGAGCAATACGATTCTCTTGCTTCCATTTGACATAGTCTATGCTGCTAAACTTGCTGAATCCCCTGAAATTCCGGCCAAAAAAATGTGACAAGACCAAAAACAAACAAAACTTCATGTAAAGAGCAACAGAGCAGCCTCAAGTGCTTCATTGGATACATTCTCCCTTCTTTTCTCAACTAACCAAGTGGACACAGAATGGGAACTCAGTAGAGTAAGTTATGAATTATTCTTTACATGTATCATGTTCATGCCAAAATACTAATTATGATCCGTAATTGTTATGTTTAGTATTTCATATGACAAATAGGCTAGTAATTGGTTGTCCCCTTTTATGAATCCTTAGGGGGAATTGTAGTGTTAATTAGATGATTGTCATCAATTTCAGTTGATTCTTAGTTTCTAAAACTATTATCAAATTAATTTGAAATTGCGTCAATACCTAGATATTTGATAATATGAATACAACTAGAGTACGTCATTCTAATTATTAAATTTAGAGAATTTGTCAGTTACTACAGACGTCCAAGGTAACTTAGGCCGAATGATTAATTAAGAGATAAACCTTTAAGAGTTAATGATCAATCAACGTAGAACCCTTCATGTTCTTGGCTTGACTTTCATTTATTGATTATATTATTTACTTTTAACATTACTTTCTTAATTTTGTTTCCTTTTTATTTCTTTCACTACATTTCATTGATTCAAGTTTGAAAAATAAAAAGTTTCATTGTTCCCTGTGGGTTCAATCTAGACTCCCAATACTATAGCTCTAGCAATTCAGTAAATAATTTTTGACACTTACGAAAAGTGCCCAAAATTTTGGCACCGTTGCTCGGGAATGGTCTTATTCCTTTTTTTATTTGTTAGTTTTTGTTAAATTTTGTTGCTGATTTAAATACTTTGGTTATTTACAGTTTTTTCGGGTTTATGACCCAATCTTCTAACTCAGGAGATTTGAAATTTGATCTAAAATAGAGAAGGCAGCGAAAAGGCAAAGGAAGCAAAAGATAATTCAATCTCAGTTATCCAAGGATTCATCATCAGATATCCATATAGTTGTGGAATTAGAGATTAACAATTGGAACAGTGAGACAGAAGAAATAATGGCTAATGCTAACCCGACTCTGAAGGAATTATCAACTCCCGATATTAATCATCAATCATTGTGTATTGAGTATCCACCTTTGGATGCTAATACAAAATTTGAGTTGAAGTCTGGATTTATTCAGCTATTGCCTACCTACCATGGATTATTTGGAGAGGATCCTCATAAGCACCTGAAGGAGTTTCACATAATTTGTGCAATTTTCAGACCTCAAGGAGTGTCTGAAGATCAAGTGAAGTTGAGGGTTTTTCCATTTTTCATTGAGAGATGCAACAAAGGATTAGTTGTATGATTTACCTTTCAAGTCAATCACCACTTGGAATGCCATGAAGAAGCAGTTCTTACAGAAGTACTTTCCAACATCAAGAACTGTAAATATAAGAAACGAAATTTGTGGTATTCATCAATTTGATGGAAAAACTCTCTATGATTAATGGAAGCATTTTAAAAAGTTGTGTAACAATTGCCCTTACCATCAAATAAGTAAACAAATATTGATTCAGTATTTCTACGAAGGATTATTGGAAGTGGAAAGGAATATAATTAATGCTACAAGTGGTGGAACTTTGGTAGATAAGACACCGCAAGAGGTTAGAATATTAATTTCTAATATCACTAAAAATTCTTGACAATTTGGAGGTCGAGCAATCCACCAAGTAGGGCATGTTAATGAAATTAGTACTTTAGAGTTACAAAGACAAATTCTGAAACTGGCATCAATGTTCCATCAATTCGGTGTCGGGAACACAGAATTGACAAGGATTTGTGGAGTCTATTCTTCAGCAACACATCCTACATACATGTGTCTAACACTTCAGGAGGACAAGCAAGAGCAAGTTCAGGTAATTAGGGGATGCAAGGTCCATCTCAAAGGAGATTCGATCCATACTCAAATACTTATAATTTGGGGTGGAGAGATCACCCCAATTTTAGTTATAGTGGTTGACAAACTCAAGGTTCATACAGGCTCCCACAACCACAGCATCAACAAACAATTTAGCCATGAATTTTGAATAATCTAGCTCCTAGTGCAAGCTCGTCTTTGGAGGATATGGTGAAGACAATAGCTAATTCAACTGCAGAATTTAAGAAAGAAATGATGCAATTTAAGCATGAAACAATGCAATTCCAACGTTCAAACTAGGCAAGCATTCAAGGTTTGAAGACTCAAATAAACTAATTGGCCACATCTGTAGCTAAATTGAGAGCTCAAAATTCTAGAAATTTTTGGTCTCAACTCATTTTGAATCTAAGGGAAAATGCAAGTACTGTGACTTTAAGAAGTGGAAAGCAGTTAAAGCCATTAGATGAATCAAATTCACAATCAAAGGTTAAGTAAATTGAGTTGAATGAAAAATGGAGGTTTGAAAAGTAAGCAACAAAAGAAAGGTTGAGGTTTTTAAACCTAACGTCATTATTCCTCCACCCTTTCTCAGTAGATTGGCAAAGTCTAATAATGATGTGAAGGAACAAGAAGTTTTAGATATCATCTGCAAGGTGAAATTGAACATCCAATTACTTGAGGTGATTAAGCATATTTCAAGGTATGCAAAATTTTTCAAAGATTTGTGTACTACAAAGAGGAAGTTCAAGGGGAATGAATAGGTGATTGTCAACAATAATGTCTCTGCCATGATCCAAAAGAAGTTGCCTCCAAAGTGCAAGGACTCAAGTATATTCACAATTTCTTGTACTATTGGTAATGCTTGAATTAAATAAGCTATTTTAGACCTAGGAGCATCTGTCAGTGTCATGTCTTTGTCAATCTATTCTTCTTTGAATTTGAATCCTTTAAAAGATACTGCAGTTACTATTTTGTTGGCAGATAGATCTAATGAATAACTGGAATGCGGTATTAGAAGATGTTCTTGTGCAGGTTGAAGGGTTGATTTTTTCAACTAATTTTTACATAGTGAATATAAAGAATGACAAAAATCAAGTCCAACACCTATATTACTTGGAAGACCATTTTTGAAAATAACCAAGTCAAAAATTGATATGTCCAATGGTATACTAACCAAGAATTTTGATGGTGAAATTGTTAAATTTAAATATTTTTGACACCATAAAATATCCAGTTGATTATAATTTTGTTCTCTCTGTTGACATTATAGATGACTTAACTCAACAAACTTTTGATGTCAGTAGGAGAGATGCATTAAAAGTGGTTATTAATAATGGTTTACGGTGCAATAGTGAGTGTTTGCAGCTTAACGATGAAATTGATGAGTTTATTAGTGCTTTGTACTCTTTGCCTCTAATGTTAGATAGGTATGATCTTAAGCAAATAGACGTAAATTCTTACACAAGATTATTACCTTCTATGGTGCAGGCACCAGTGCTAGAGCTTAAGTCCCTTATAACTCATCTTATATTTGCTTATTTGGGAGAGGGTGAAACATTGCCAGCGATTATATCTAACACATCGATAAGGGTGTAGGATGAGAAACTGATCTGAATATTACAGGGTCATAAAATAGTAATTGGATGGATAGTTGCTGATATAAAAGGGATTAGCCCTTCTATTTGTATGCACAGGATTTTGTTAGAAGAAGGATCAAAACTTGTTCAAGAAGCTTAGAGAAGATTTAATCCCGTAATGATGGAGATAGTGAAGAAGAAAATAATTAATTTGCTATGTGCATGAATAATATATCCAATATTTGATAGCAAGTGGATGAGTCCATAATAGGCGGTACCCAAGAAAATTCGAGTGACAGTGGTAAAAAATCAAAATGATGAATGGATACCAATTCGAGTCCTTAATAATTGGAGGGTATGCATTGATTATTGAAAACTCAATGCTATGAACAGGAAGGATCATTTCACTTTACATTTCATTATCAATTATTAGAACGATTAGTTAATAAAGCTTTTTACTATTTTCTTGATTGCTACTCAGGATACAACTAGATTGTGATTATGCTAAAGGACCAAGAGAAGACAACATTTATTTATCCATTTGAAACATTTGCATATTGACAGATGCTATTTGGGCTATGCAATGCACCTGCTACCTTCCAACGGTGTATGATAAGCATAGTTTTCGATTTTATTGAAAAGTGCATTAAGGTGTTCATGGACAATTTTACAATATATAGCGATTCATTTGATCATTGTTTAGACAAATTGGCAAGTGTCCTTGTCAGGTCCATTGAAACTAATTTAGTTTTACATTATGAATAATGTCACTTTGTGGTTGAGTAACGTGTAGTGTTAGGACATGGAGT